GAAGCCCCCCAGCGGCACCAGAGGCGGCCTCCCCTCCTCATCCTCGGAGAAGGACGCGCAGGAGAAGCTGCGCGGGGGGCTCCGCCAGCTGGGGAAGGCAGGGCAGGTGCCCGGGGAGCCCGACGTCCTGGCCGAGAGGCAGCGGGGGCCGTCCCCCCTGGGCAGCGTGGAGTGCCAAGGGAAGGGCCCGGAGGCCGCCCAGAACGGCTTGGGCCCAGGGCGGGGCCCAGAGAGCCCTCAGCCTTTCCGGCACCTGGAAGCCGGCTCGCCTTTGAAGGGGATTGGGCCCCCCTCCCCGCTGGCCAAGACTCCCAAGAGCGACCAGAGCCTTGACCTGGAACTGTCCCCAACTGACCTTCAGGCCCGGCTCAACCACTGCCCGGACGTGGAGGAGCCCGGGGGCAGTTCCGAAGAGAAGACCCTGGAGATGATGTCCCCGGCCAGTGCGGGGCACACGCCCTCCCACCCCTCCCCCATGGAGGACGTGGCCATGGAGGAGGAGCCCGTGGCCTTCCCGCATCCCTGGAGGCCCGATGGCGCCGGCCCCCGAGCCTCCCACGACAACTCCAGCTCTTCCCAGGAGAAGCCCTCCGGTTGCCTCTCCCCCAGCCTCTTGAGGGATGACCTCCATGACGTCTCCCCCACGCTCACCACCCCCTCGCTGCCGGCCGAAGTGGGCTCCCCCCACTCCACCGAGGTGGACGAGTCGCTCTCGATCTCCTTCGAGCTGCTCCTGCCGCCCGTCAGCGAGTTCCCCCAGGAGGAGGGAGAGGGCTTGCAGGCCGGGGGGCTCACCCCGGACCCCGAGCCCGCATTAGGGAAGAGCGGGATGTCCCTGCCCATCCTCTCCTGCCACCCCCAGCGCCTGGATGGCCGTGTCCTGCCCAGGTCCGGCCAGCGGTCGGATTCCCCTCATGACGTGGACCTTTGCCTGGTGTCCCCTTGTGAGTTTGAGCACCCCAAGTCAGACAGGTCCCCCTCGGCCAACCTCAGCCCCCGGGACATGTCCAACAGCAGTGACTTCTCCCAGGAAATGGCCAAGCCCCTGTCGCACAGGAAGGGCCCCCGAGCCCGCCGGTCCCACCCTCTGCTGGACGAGACCCCACCCACGTCATTCAGCGAATCGCTCCCCACCCTCTCCGACTCGGACGCCCCGCCTGCCATGGAAGAGTGTCCTTCTCTCACGGCCGATGGAGCCCTGGACTCGGACGACGAGGACCCGGAGAGCCTCGCCCAGGCCCGCGACCCACTCCCGGCCCTCCTGAAAGACCCCTGCCCCCTCCCTGCCCAGCCGGGCATCTGCATGGTGGACCCTGAGAGAGATGGGGCCGCCAAAGCCAAGCGGGCCTCGTTGCGGGGGTCTTCGGCCCCTCCCAAAGCAGACGCCCTCAAGGCCGCCGCTCCCAATGCCCGGGCGAAGCCGTCCTCGGCCGGCGTGGGGGAAAGAGCCCGGCCGCCGGTCCCCGGCAGAAGCGACCCCCCGGCCTCCCGTGCCAGCGGGGACAACCGCTTGGCCTTCGCCCAACGGAACGCCAGCGCCCGGCCTCTCCCGGGGGGAGGAAGAGCCGCCTCGGCAGGTAAGGGAGCAGCGTTGCCCTTCCCAACTCGGAGCAGGTGCCCGACGCTCTGGGCAGCTCGGGCTGCTTTTCCACTGAGAGCCGGGCGCCCTGCCCTCCACGAAGGAGGAGGCGCCTGAGCAGGCCTTGGCCTTGGGCTCCCCTCCCCCCTCCCTTTGGACCCGGTCAGCAGCCTCAGCCGGGACCGTTTCGCTAGACATCGGCTTTTCTGTTGGTCTTCACGGCCGGTCAGCTGGGGGCGGGCATCGCTACGGCTGCTCAGAGGGGAGGGTGGGCTAAGGAAGTCAGTGGCCCAAGGTCGGGGGAGGGGACTCTGTCCTGAGGGTCAGCTGGGGGCTTCCCCGGCGCTTGGGCCTGTGCTCCCTGCCCACCTCTGCTCTGCTTCCTCCGCAGGGGCCCGGCCCGGCCTGCCGCGAGGCCCAGTGTACCTGGAGCTGGCCTACCTGCCCGGCTCAGCCAGCGCCCAGAAGGTGGACGAGGACTTCTTCCGCTGCGTCCGTTCCCAGTGCTACGTCATCAGCGGGGAGGACCACCTGAAGGAGAGTGTCCTACGGGGCATCCTGGATGCCCTGCTCTCGGGCAAGCAGCACTGGGCCCACGACACCCAGGTAGGCCCCTCGGGCGGGGCGGGGCGGGGCCTCGGCTGGCCCTCCGGCTGCCAGGGGACCGTGAGGGGCGCAGGCCGGGGGCGGCTGCCCAGTCACAGGGGTCTGGGGCCAGGCCTGAGCCCCTTCCTCCTCCTCCTCCTCCTCCTCCTCGTAGCCCCTTGCCCTGGTCCTGCCTCTGGGCAAGAGGGAGAAGCCCGCTGCCCTCGCCCTCCCCTGTGGGGCAGCCCTTTCCCTCTTCTGCCGGCCGAGTGTCCCCAAGTCTTTCTCCCCTCTCGGAAGGGAAGGAGGCAGCCCAATGCCCGGACTGGGTCCCCTTCTCAGGGGACCTTTGGGCTGCAGCTGGCGGCCACCCGAGAGACCCATGTGCCACAGCCACTCCTTTCCGTTTTCCTACCCAAAGCCAGAGCTGCATGTTTCCCCCTGTTGAACTCCTGCCTGGGGGGGGGGGGGGGGGGGGGCCACTCCAATGTTCGATGAATGGGATTTAGAAGACTGACCTCACAGAACAGAGTAACATCCCCCCTCCCCAGTGGGAACCCCCAGGCGGCCAGAGGGGAGGGCTCTGGTGACAGAGGGGGGGAGGGGAGGGGAGGGGGGAGGCACCTGGGGTCAATGAGGGGGCTGCTGACCGCTGAGCTGC